GGGGCAGGCACAGCATCCCAGCTGTGGGCACAGCATCCCCGTGCAGACACAGCACCCCCAGCTGCCTGCACATCATCCCGGGTGTGGTCACAGCATCCCAACTATGGGCACAGCATCCTAGCTGTGGGCACAGCACTCCAGTGCAGGGACAGCATCCTGGGTGTGGGCACATCATCACAGTGCAGGCACAGCATCCAGAGGCAGGCACAGCATCTCAGCTATAGGCACAGCACCCTGGTGCAGGCACAGCATCCCACTGCAGGCACAGCCTCCAGGACCCCCCGCCTGCCCAACCCCGCTCAGCACAGCCCCAAACCTCCTTAGCTGACACCCAGCCGGCCGAGCCGGGCTATCAGGGGTGATTCCCGAATAACCAGCGCTGGATGAGTGCAGGGGAGGTTTAACACGAGCCCACTCAGCCCCCTGTGCCCCCTCCCAGGCTCACTCAGCTCCTCAGCCAGGGAGGGCAGAGGCAGCGAGGTGCGGTGATTCCTGTTCCAGCCCTGCCGCTGCTCCCCGTGCTTCCCAGGAGCGAGTAAAAATAGCACTCCGTCATTTTGTAAATAATAGCTATCCATCTCCTCCCGGGCCGGGGAGACACGAGCACTTAAAGGGGGAATTGCAGGGGAAGGGGGAGGTCTGCCTTGGAACAGGGCTGGGATGGGGGCACAGAAATGGAAATGGGAAGCCTGAAACACCTCAGCACAGCTGCTGCTGGTTTATACCTTGTGCATACACTCAGGGAAGCGTCAGACCTGCTGGAGTGGAGCTGTGGGGGCTGGAGCTGTCCCTCCCCTCGGGGCTGGAGGGGGCTGTGGGGTACAAAACCCACCAGATGTGGGGGAGCAGGTTCCTGGAGGAGAGGGGTAGCTCTCAAAAAGCAGGCAGGTGCAGTAAGTGCCATGGTAACACCGTGGGAAGGGTGGTGTGGTTTGCCATTTGCATTGCAAATCTGCCCAGCTGTGGGGGATTTCTGCAGCTGGGAGCAAGGCAGGAGCAGGCTCTGTACGCCTGGTTGGCCTGCAGAGCCTTGTTCTGCTCTCACACTTGCTCCACATTGTTCCTGGGAACATGGTTGTGCTGCAGCTTGGGTATAAGCTGAGCCTATAGATGGGCAAAGCCCCCAGACAAGGGAGTCATCCTCAAACAAATGACTTAGGAACATGGCATGGCACTTGAATCTGTAAATTTAGTTCAAACACTGAACCTGAAATCTCCTGCTTTTCCAGTTTCATGTTGGCTCCGGGGTCTGTTTTTGCATTCCTGGTGCAGCAGCTCAGCAGGGTGGCTGGAAGGGGCTTGGGCAGCCCACCAAGGGCTGTATTGGGCAGTGCTGTGCCAATCCTTAGGGCAGCCAGACCTGGGCTCTGCTCCTTGCTCTGCTCCAGCTTCCTACCTGCACCCAGCCCGTGCATTTTTGTGTCTTTGGTTATAAACAGGACTGCCAGCATCCACCTGCCACCCCAGCAGCCTTGAAAGCTCCACTCGTGCCTGTAAAAAAATTGAATTACAGGGAAGGATGCTGCTAGGGAATGAAAAATGCCATTTTGTGTTCTGCAGCAGTTCTAGGGAAAGTGCCTACCCCCCTATAATGTCCTTAATTGTTAAATCTTCGGTGAGAACTGCCAAGACAGCCAGGCTACAGCATGAGCATCTATGGCTTGAGCAGAAAATAAGAATTTCTCTGCAATGTCTCTAAGCAGAGGCAGGAGATGCTTTTCTCTCAGCTTTCTCTTGCTGAAAAAGAGATGGAGTTTCATCTCATTGAGGCTCTGTGTGGGTCAGTGTGAGGGTGAGGAGAGGGGAGGCTGCTGGGGCAGCTGCTGCTTTCTCTGCAGGTGGAGGTCTCACAGTCATAGAGCTGGGAGCAATGCAGGGGCTCTTGGGCTGTGGGATCACAGGGGAAGTGAATCTCTGAGGCTGGAGCTCACTCTGTTCTGCTGGTGTTTTACTTATCTCTGGATTTCCCAGCTCTGCTGAAATCCCTGCCTGCGTAGCAATGATTTAATTTCAGCAATCCCTCCGGATCCCAGCCAAATCCTGCCCTTAGGAGCACTTATTAACAGGGAGGGTTCAGGCTGCCTTTCACCATGAGAGGTGCAGGGAGCTCATTTTTCTCAGAGCTGAGGGACATCACCGAGCCAGTGGTGGAGCCCCAGCTTGTCCCTTCTCTGGGTGCTGCATGGCGTTGCCAGGGGGTAAATCTGCAGCCTGGAAATGGGGGATTCTCTTCAGACATGGGTTGTAATTAGTTATTAATATTAATAAGTTATTAATAGATTATTGAAGTTTCCTAATGCCATTATCTTTGATTGGATTTACCAGTAGATTGAGGGGTCATGAAGGGGTTTCTGGAGCTCTGTGTCAGCCAGATTACAGCATGATGAGGACATAAAAGCTCATTTAAGGATTGCAGGATCATAACAAAAGGTGTCCTAAAACAAATTCTGCCTTTTTGTCTTCTCCTGGCTCCCTGAATCCTTTCCCCTGTGCTTGGACCCTGCAGAGCACATTGGAAAGCACAGAGCCTTCCATGACTCCCTATTGAATTTGCTGCAATCCCAATGAGGGGAGAGAATGATGCATCTGACTCCATCTTATCAGAAGGCCAATTAATTACTTTATTACACTATATTATTCTATACATCTAAAACTGGATCTGCCAAGCACCCAACCCTGCACAGAATCTCATGACTGTCAACCCACAGTCCTGACACACACACACACCTGGCCCTGACAGGCCAAGGAAACAAAACACCATCACTCTGGGTAAACAATCTCCACATTGCATTCTGCTTTGGCACAAACACAGGCACAGCAAATTATAAGAATTGTGTTTTCTTCCTCTGAGGTTCAGAGAATGTGAAACCCAGAAATATTCTTGGGAAGAATTGTGCCTTGCTTTTCTCTGTGAAGGGAAATGTGGGGCTGCAACCCCCTGTCCCTCTGAGCAGGGCACAGCTCATCCTGCACCTCCCAGGGACTGCCCTGCCTGGCCATGGGTGGCCTCAGCTCCTGATCTGCTGTCCATGGCTGCAGAATGGATGCCAGGGAGGGGAGGGAGGGAGAATTTTGTGTTTTCTCCAACACAAAATGAGTTTTCTCTCGCCACATGGGGTAGCAGAAGGAGCCTCACACCACTCAATGTTCTCTGCTGTGTGCCTCATCTGGGGTCCTGTTGGGAGGGAGGCTGAGAATACCCTGAGTGTTTCAGCCTCACAGAAGGGGCTCATTCTGTTTAGATCTCTGGGTGTTTCACAAAGTGTACCACATGCATATTTCTCTTTAACCTTCTTTTTATTTCATCAAGATGAGATCAAGGGTTACTTCTATAGCACAATAATATCAGCCATGGGCTGCATCAAAAGTTCTCAGCCATAATAACTAAAGACATGTATACGTATATTTTAGCCATTAAGGAGAAAACCCTGCCAGAATGCATTATCTTATTTTGGGATGTAAAACTTTGAAGCACAAACCTAAGCTTCATAGTACTGCAAAATGACTCTCAGGGGACAGAAGGATTTCCATAACTAAATTAAACAATGGGCCGTCCAGGCTACTTGCAAGGCTGCTGGGATGGCCAAAATTGGGTCCTGTGCATAAAACATGAACTCTGCTCTGCAGCTTTAAATTGGTTCTTTCATTAGGAGAGCAGCTCTGAGCCAGCTAGTGCCACACAACAGCGTGATCTATCCCTAAAGTGGGGAGGATTTATGGGAACTGAGTGCTGAACTCAAGGCAGCTCATCCATCATGTTTTGAGCACAACCCAGTGGGCAGAGCACAGGACTGTAAATCTGGGAAATCACCGTGCCTTGATTTCCCTGCAAAGCAGGGTGGCAGCAGAGGTGTCGATTAGGAAACAAGCCAAAATCCGAGGAAGCCAGGAAGGAGAGCTCTGTGTGCACGTGCTGCAGGCTCTGTTCAGCACTCCAGTGTCACAGACTTCTTTTCATGTAAAATCCTTCCCTTAGGATCTTTCCTTCCTGAGAAGCTGAGAGGCCTCAGGGACAAAATGCAAACAATGGTTATCTGCTGCTGTGGAATGCAACAGGTGCATCTGTGATTGGCTCATGTGGTTGTTTCTAATTAATGGCCAATCACAGTCAGCTGGCTCTCTCTCTGTCCGAGCCACAAACCTTTGTTATTCTTTCTTTTCTATTCTCAGCCTAGCCTTCTGATGATAACTTTTTCTTCTATTCTTTTAATGTAGTTTTAATGCAATATATATCATAAAATAATAAATCAAGCCTTCTGAAATATGGAGTCAACATCCTCATCTCAAAAGCCCTGTGAACACCATCACACTCCAGGTTATCTGAAGGCATGTGGCTGAAATTGCCCCTGTTTTTAGCAGCTGGGCAGGCAGTGGGGCCCTGTGGCTTTGAGGCTGCTGCTCAGCATCCATGAGGGAACCTCAGCCCGGGATGCAGGGGCAGCACGTGACAAGTGAGCAGCAGCAGCAGCAGCTCTGTGAGACTGAGGCACTTAGGAGAGCAGAGAGCACGATGGCAGTAAAAGGCAATCAGAATATTGATTCCTTTTACATACAGATAAGCCTGGAGCTGTAACAAACCCAGGCTTCCCTAAAACTGCTGGAACATCGCTAGGCTGTTTATCTGGCAGGGAGACACAAAGGGATTTCAGATTAAAAAGGAGTTTCAAAGCATCAGGGCTTACCTCTGGATTGAAAATGTGGATCTGTAGCAGGGTGTGGATGATGCAGGCGCACAGATTCTGTAAATACGCATTGTCTGCCGTGTGGGACAGATTTGTCCTCGGTGTAAGCGTGGGAAGCAGCAGAGCTGCACTGGAGATGAATGTGCCCAATTACCAGTGATAAAATCAGCCCTTGTTTGGGGCACAGAGCTCAGTGCTGAGGGTTCAGCAGAGTAGGAATAAATACTATATAACAAACCTCAAAGCCTTGCCTGCACAAGGAAATTCAGCTCTCTAATTGCTCTTTTTTTTCCCTTTTTTTCTCTCTTTTTGTCCCAGACAGTGTAACTGAAGTCAAGACAGACATTTACGTGACGAGTTTCGGCCCTGTCTCGGACACAGACATGGTAGGTGCCTCACAGGGAGGGGTGGCTTCTCCTCCTGTGTCCCCCCTCCTCCTCCCAGGACAATATGGGTAAAAGTGGGATTTTCCTAAGTGACAAGAGCTGGTGGTATCTCAATTCCAGGAGTTGTTTCCCAGGTGTGCTTGGGCTTTTGGAAACCAGTTGATAACTGGAGGAATGAAGGTGCTCCTTGGGAAGAGGGGAGGATGCCAGAAGCTGATCTGGTTTGGTATCAGAGACAATGATCCACCATCAAACCATCCTTAGTGCCTGAACTGGAGGGAGGCAAAAGAGAAAACAGAAAAGACATGGACTGACTGTGCTATTTTGACATGTTCAGGGAAAATTATTAATGAAAAGGCCTGAGGTCTGAATTTAGGCTTGTATTCCCACAACAGTTTGTCTTCTAATTAAAACAGGACTGTGGAGCATAATTAATAGTGAAGTTTCTCAACAGCAGCTCGTGTTCCACACGCACCCAGAGCAGGGCTGGCTGTGGGTGGCTGCTCAGGAGCTCCAGGATGGCACGTGAGGATTCAGGACTGAGCCCCTCCTGCATGCCCAGCCCCTGAGGTGCTGGCATAGCCCAGGCCATGGTGGGCAGTCCATGCCATGGAGGGACCCTGTTTTGGGGCAGGGACCAGGTTGTCACTGTCTAGGCCAGCCTGGAGCAGTGTCCTGTGGCTCTCACATCCCCTCCAGAGCTGCAGGGGTTGAATTTCCTGGGCTGGCATGGCCTGAACATCTCTCCAGCTGTCCCACAGCAATCCTGTGCTGGCAAGCAGAGAAGCAGAAAATCTCTGTGTTTCATGGAGTTGCTCGCTCCATCACTCTAACCCAGGTTGCTTTGGGAAGACCACTCCCTCCAGGGTAAGAAGTTAAGTTGATGTCAGTGTAATCAAGATTATGAACCTCATCTGAGTTCTCCCTCTCTCTCTCCTGCTTTCCTACCACAGCAGAGACCCATAATATATTCAGCAATCGTAGCCCGTGGGGAGTATCTGATAATTACTTCCAAGGTGGAGCATATTTGATTAAGGGAGTGTGTATAATGAACTGTGAAGAAAAAAATATGAGGTATTGAAAAGAGGAAGGTATTCTCTGCAATGTGATTTGACAAAATGAATATAAAATTAGGAAGACAGTTAAGGAATAATAAATTATTTCCCCTCCGCGTGCTTTCGTTCCGTATATTTTACAAATGCATGGCGAATGTGTTTTAGCTGTGCTGCTAAAAGTGAGGGAGAGAAACCCCATCTCCTCAGGAAAGGGGGAGAGCCTGCTCTGGGGCTTCCTTTCATCTCTGGAGTGGGGAAATCCCTCCTTCTCGCTGGCATCTGCCCAGTGCAGCTCCCCTCCCACCACTCCTGGAATTGCGGAATTGGAATTGTGGAATTGCAGTGATGGAGGAGAGGCAGGTAAAGCTGCCCTGGGGAGAGGGAGAGCAGCTGCTAACAGAGCCTGGAGGAGGAGGAGGAGTGAAACAGGGGTCTCCTCCAGCCAGGTTTCATAAGCTTTTGGAGATTTATTTCACACCCAAGATAGCTCAGCTACCGTAGAAGGCACAAAATCAGCAGGACGGCTTCTGTGGTAGTGTTGGAAACAAAAAGTTTTAATAAAAGGCAAAATAGCCTTTACAGAGAAAAATTGAGCTAGGTGCAAAAGGTTCTTGCTCCTGGTAAAACACCTCAGAAAAGCAATTAGTTTCTTTGTTCTCTTCTTTTTCTAATAACTTGCTCAGGTGGGACTTTTTGGCTTCTGTCCAATTAGCTATCCTTAAGTTTGAGGTGAAGTCCCCCAGGTCCTATGAGGTGTCTTTTTACCTAATTGAGGAAGTTCCTTTTCTCGATTTTTCCTTTTTAAGAAGACAAAGGATAGTTTTGTTACTCCATCAACAGCGGGGCACATTCCTACAGATGAGGACATGGAGACCTTTCCACTGAGTGCTCCAAGGGACTCCCAACCTCTCTTTTGGTTTGGAGAGCAGAGCCTGTTCACACCTGAGGTGTCACCCTGTTCTTCTAAGTTCTTCTAAGCCTTCTGATGTTTACATTCTCGTAATGGAGCTTCTCACACACTTTCATGTAAATAATTATTCTTTTTACATTCCTCTCTGGAGGAGGAGAAATGTGATAGACTGAAGGCTTGTCCAGTGTCATTGGAGAGGTGGCACTGTCATCCTCCAATCCACTGTCACTTTTGAAATCTATAAATGTTGGAGTCAGAAAATAAACTTCCCTTCTTCTTCCCTTGCAGTTCCAGTGTCCACATTGTTTTATTTTGTGTCCTATTGTAACACCAAGGCATGCCCCAGTCCTCGGGACTAAGCTCTTGCAACTTTGCCTCAGTCCCAGGGAAATTATTAAAAGGAAAACAAAAATTGAAGGGATTTTTTTTTGTTTTGCGGATGGACTATGAGGACAGAGTCAGTGTGGATGTTTTCAGTCACTTCTGTAGGCAGAGAAGAGCATCACGCAGAACTAAGTGTGCTCCTTGGAAGGGGTGAGTTGGGAATAATGCTTTTATGGAAAGAAGCATAGAAAAGAGAGGAACATTCTGAACATGATTTCTCTTTTCTTCAGGAATGATTCCTAAGCATTAAAGAAGATAAGCAGGGCCTTGAAAGTCATTAAAAATGTTTTGCTTCTTTGTCTGGCACTTTTTAAATAGAAACAGGGAATGAGAGAGCCTTTCTCCTGATAAGGCCTTTTCCCAAACCTCCTGGGACTGCACACAGGCTCATTTCTTTGGGTTTATCCCAAGAAATAATGAATTAGAGATCACTTCCATGAAGGGGCAAAATACCTTGCACAGGGGAGAGCCCTTGAGAATGCAGGATTTCTCTTTCCTTCCCCAGCCAAGATCCAGAAGGTTCATATTTGAGCAGGGGTGTCTCCATGGCCAGGGAGCAGGGATGGATTTATTTACAGAGATGCCTCCATTCAGCTGCCATCTGCTGCAAAACCTGTAGGAATTTCTCTGTCCTATAGGAAAGTGATGCACAGCAGTTTTTCAGCGCTGCTGAGAAGTGCTGCAGGAAAGAAATCACTCACAATGATAAGTTTGGTTGGTCCTGCAGCCTCCAGGAATGTGTAAATAAAGATTACGAGTCTGCAGCAGCAGGGGGAGGGAGAACAGTTGGGACAGGGAGGTTTTCCAAAGACCCCTCTGCCTCTAAAAGTTGTTTCTGAATCTGCATTCACTGAGTGAGGAGCTGGCTTGGGTGCAGGGTTTCAGAGAGGTGACTTCTAAGTGCCCCAGCTGGAATTTGGCATGGGAAATGGGTCTCTACATTGGCAGAAGAAAAAAAAGAAAATGGAAATAAAACAAGAAAAAGAAGACAAAAGAAAGTCACAGGATCTTGTAATGCCAGTAAATTCTTCAATTCAATGATTTTCTAAAGGTGGCCTAGGGAACAAAATAACATTAAAACAATGTCATGCAAGTTCTTTTCTTTTTTTTTTTTTTATGAGCAGAGATATAATTACCAGCATCCTGGCCAGATTCCATCTCCAGGATCTTTATTTTTGCCTTCTAAAATACCTGTGTAGCTGCACAAAATGGCCTTTCTCCCCTGAAACTTCTGCATAGAGGTGGTGGTGCAGCAGGGCTACCCCAGCTCTGGCCACTCTAGGGGCTGTGCTGCAGCTTCCCTGCAGTGCTCAGAAACACTGACATGCACATTTTGACATCATTGGTAAGTCATTACCCAAAATGTGCTGAATCCCATCTACCCTGCACTGCTGTTAGCACCTTCTGCTTGTTGCACCACGCTTTGTGTTACCCAAGGTGTGCCAAACCCAGTTTTCTGCCACCTCTTGAGCTGAGTAAAACACAACTTATTTTCCTCTCCTCTCTCCCCAAAGGAATACACCATTGACGTCTTTTTCCGGCAGTCCTGGAGAGATGAAAGGCTGAAGTTTGATGGTCCCATGAAAATCCTTCCCCTGAACAACCTGCTGGCCAGCAAGATCTGGACTCCTGACACGTTCTTCCACAACGGGAAGAAATCTGTTGCCCACAACATGACCACCCCCAACAAGCTGCTGCGCCTGGTGGACAACGGCACCCTGCTGTACACCATGAGGTGAGTCTGGCTCATCCAAATCTATGGACAATGGCACCCTCCTGTACACCATGAGGTGAGTGTGGCTCTCCATGGACAGTGGCACCCTGCTGTACACCATGAGGTGAGTCTGGTTCTCCATGGACAATCTCCTGTACACCATGAGGTGAGTCTGGCTCTCCATGGACAATCTCCTGTACACCATGAGGTGAGTCTGGCTCTTCATGGACAACGGCACCCTGCTGTACACCATGAGGTGAGTCTGGTTCTCCATGGACAGTGGCACCCTGCTGTACACCATGAGGTGAGTGTGGCTCTCCATGGACAGTGGCACCCTGCTGTACACCATGAGGTGAGTATGGCTCCTGTATACCATGAGGTGAGTCTGGCTCTTCGTGGACAACAGCACCCTGCTGTACACCATGAGGTGAGTGTGGCTCTCCATGGACAATGGCACCCTCCTGTACACCATGAGGTGAGTGTGGCTCTCCATGGACAATGGCACCCTGCTGTACACCATGAGGTGAGTCTGCCTCTGCTTCCATGGAATCCAGTTCCTTCTGCTCATCCAGGGACCTCAGGGTGCCTCACAGCAGGGTGTATGCAGGCTTGCCCTAACTCTTGTTAGTAGATTTGAGTGCTACCTGTGGGGATCCCAGTTGTGGGTTTCTCTGGGTCTGGATTGAAGGCACTTGAGATAGTACTTCTTGTTGGGACTCAGGTGTTTATTGTTTCTTATCAATAACACAGTCTCACTACTGTGAGTTCAGCAGCAAGGCACAACATGGCCAACCATCTCTTGTTACAAGGTCTTTTAAGACTAAACTATCCAATTAAGAACTGTCACCTAGATTATTTTCCCTTTTAAACCAATGACTGATCCCAAAGAGCTGCAAGGGGACTTTTCTGCCCAAATACAAAATGCCACCCAAACCCATGGAAAAGAAGGAAGAAGCAGCATGAAGAAGAAACCCAGAATGACACCCTGTGCCCTCCATCTTGCTTCCATCCACAGCACACTAAAAATCCCAAAACTCAATTTCTCACCAATTGATGCACCTACACTGCTCTATAATCTATTCCACACTTTTGTGGATTCCAGTCTATCTTGAAGTCTGGGAAACTTTCTCCACGGATGAGGGTCAGCGTCAGTACTTCCCGGAGGGTCAGGGCACCCCAGAGCAGACAGAGAAATATTCCCAGTGCCCTGGGTTTGCACACCTGCCCTGCTGCTTTCCATACTCTCCTTGTCTCTTACCTATGGACCGTCACTGATCCTAGCTTGGACATTTTTACAGGTAGATTTTTCCCTCATCATTCACATTGACTTTTTTTCGCTTTTATGTGCTGAGGTAGATGTGTTGGGATATATAGTTTGTGAGGTTGATGTGCCACCTGGCCTAATTTTCTTCCTGACCTGTGATGAGATATGAATCCAATGTTGGTATGGGAACATTAGGCTGAGAGAATTTGCTGTTCTCCAGCAGCTTGAGAAGAGATCTAAATTTGTTCAGCATGTTAGAGCAGAACCATTTCACACATCTAATGAGACCAAGCTTGCTTGTGACAACAATGGGGTTGTTTTTTCCCACTTTGTGGAATTAAAAAAATCCAAATCTATGTGATCGATGCACATCATTAGGGAAAAAACCCAACAAACAGCTAATTAAAAACTGTGATTTGGAGAAGCCAGGGTTGCAGGAGTCATAGGTTGTAAATGAAACAACAAGCTGCTGATAAATGTGCACGAAAAGTATTGAGTTGGTTTTGGCAAGGTGTAAATCTTTGTTTTAAAAAATTATTTTCTCTGTCTCCATCTCCAAGTCAATCCTAACTAATAACAGGCTTCATTGTGGATTCTGTGTGCTGAGATTCTGCACTTTCACCTCTGTTTATGAGGACCAGGCAGAATTTCATCTCTTCATAGTTAAACTGGCTGTGAATCTACACGGTGTCAGCAAGTTTTACAGCCCACATTGATAAACAATGCCTTGCTTTTGTGCAGCAGCTCTCAAATATGAGCTAATCCTCCCAGTGCCCTGGGGGTTTAGGTCTCCACACATCAGTGATCTCACATTAAGGCAGATGGGGTAAATGAAGGGAAAAGCCCAGCTTGACTTAAGGGCTCTGTTCTGCTCCCAGCTCTCTGACCTGCAAGTAGACAACTCACACTCCCCACACTTTGGATCATTGTCTGACTGTAAAGTATTACAGGAGCTGCTGGCGTAAGACAGCCAAAAAAAAAAAAAAAAGACTCAATTTCAGAGCTTTTAAATCATTTCACTACTTCTTTATTCAGCAAACAGCCATTAGCTTCAGCAAGTTTTGTGTGACTAAAAAAGTATTGGATTTATTCTTCCATTCAGGGCTGGGCAGGTGCCAGGATGGCAGCAGCATCATGAGACTCTTGGGAATGAGCTTCTGGAAGAAAAGAGAGCCTTGGGATTTTTTAAAACAAAGTCAAGCCATCCTTCAGTTTAGCTGTCTGCTGAAGAACTGGGGAATGAAGGAGCTCCTCTTACAGGTGCTCCTGTCCTCCTTGAATACCTCCCTAAGGCTTTGTCAGAGGTGAGGAGCCCACCCAGGGGCTGAGGGCTGGATATGAGACCTTTTGTCATGTTTTGAATTGCACAGATCCAGGAGCTCTTGTGCACGGAGATCTTTTCTTTGCCCAGTGGGTGAAGGCCAGGGGAGGTTCTGGGCAGCACATCCTGGAGCTGCTCATGGGGTTAGAGCTGCCCAGATGGCCACAGCGTGCAGGACTGCTCTGGGATTGCAGATAAACACATCCAGGATGGGATGGAGCATCTGATTATTCCCTTTCTCCCTCTTGGTGCTGCTCAGGAGCACCAGGGTCTCTTTTGAGTGGGGTGTCAGAGAGGAAGATGCAAGGGCACAGACTGCAGGGCCAGGACCAAGCCTCAGGCTCAGCCACCAAAATCTGTCCGGCTTTGCCACTCCAAGGCACTCCCACCTCTATTCCTCTGCCAAACAATGATGGTGGCATCACCCTCCCTTGTTAACTGCTTGGAAACCTCTCCCAGGGAAGGGCTGGAGGGAGCCTCTTGTTCTCTGTCCAGCTGATGCTTTTGCTGTCCTCCCCCATGCAGGGATGTGCATGGGTGTCCTTAAAGGAAGGAGCAGGACCTTGAAACCAAACTCACACAGCAAAGTGCAAATACCAAAGGGGTGCCCTGCTCACTGGGGAGAGAATCTGAGCTTCCCCCAGATTTCCAGTGCCTGGCAGCACTGCCCAGGTGATCCCTTGCATGGATCAGCCTGGCCATGCAGTTTGGCTCCTGAGCATGTCCTGCGCCTTTCCCTTGTACCAGGCAATATCCTTGAGGGATCAGCTCTGCTGATGTGCAATTAGAGGCACGTCTCCTGCTATTTATCCTGCTGGGAGAGCCAACTTCTCTTAGTCAAGGCTTACAGTTATAGATGAACTTGCTCTGGTGGAACAGCAAGTCTGACACATGCATCCAGCAAAATTACACCTGTGTGACAATATTTATAGCTCCTGGAGAGAGCCTCTTTATCACTGACCAGAGCTCCCAGGAGCTGCACAGCAGCTGTAGCCAAGCATCCAGAGATTTCCTTCAGTCGTGGCACATTCTGCTCGTGGATCAGTGCAATGTCACAGGGCACAGACCTCTGACAGGCCTTGGCACCTGGGCCACAAAACTGGTGGTGTTTGCAGGGTCCCCAGGACGAGGGAAGAGATGAGAATCTTGACTCCATGTCTCAGAGGGCTGATTTATTATTTTATGATATATATTGTATTAAAAGAAAATTATGTACTAAAACTACACTAAAGAAAGACAAAGGATTTCATCAGAAGGCTAGAAAAGAAAGGAATGAATAATAAAATCTTGTGACTGACCAGATAGTCTGACACAGCTGAACTAGGAGTGGTCATCAAGTAAAAATAACCACATGAGACCAATCACAGATGCACCTGCCACATTCCACAGCAGCAGATAATTATTGTTTATATTTAATTTCTGAGGCCTCTCAGCTTCTCAGGAGAAAAATCATAGCAAAAGGATGTTTCAGAAAATATGTCTGTGACATAAAACAAGCTTTGTGACACTGCACTGAGCTGCATTTCTCTACTCCCCAGGATTACTGATCCCTCTGCATCCTCCCTGCTCCCCCAGCTGCCTCAGAGAGCACAGGGAGTGCAGTTTCATTATGTAGCCCTGCCTCTGCAGTCTCTTCTTGCAGAGCTCCTGAGCAATCCAAATAGTTCACAAAAGCCCAGCTCTGGTCTCTAAACTCTGGTGTCAGACCTGAGCACAACAATCTGGGAACTGTGCATGGATTTATGTAAGGAAGAGGCAAAAGCAGCCGTAACAGCCATCTCTGGGTGTACTCTGGCTCAGACTGTGTGGGGCACACAGATAATGCTCTGGTTCTCCCCAGCCTTGAAGCACAGAAAACCAGTGAAAGTTTAATGCTGTGCTGATGGGATTCAGCTTTGTGAATCAAGGCTTTAAAAAGCTCTTCTGCTCTTAACAGGGCCTGTCAGAACGGCGTGTTGAGGCTTTGTGGTTATTGTCAGAGTGGTTCCCAGACAATATGTGCTCAAGTTATGCACTTGGAGGATGTTTTCTTTACCTGTCAGGCTGACACATTCCCTGCATGCCCAAAGGCTCTGCCTCAAGAGCCTGTGCTGCTGAAGACAACGTGCAGTCCTTGGAAGGAGGCTCTGGGATCCCTCAGGTGATGCAGAGCAGGAGGGAAAGCTGAGCCCAGCACACGTGCAGACCTACAGGGGCTGTGGAATCCCAGAGCAGCTTCTCTACCTGGTGTGCCATGCCCTGGGCTTTGGGCTTCCCATGCTGCCTTTTGAAATCACGGAGCTCTGCAGTGTCTCTCCCTCAGCAAAGGCTTTTCGGGGTGTCTTTACTGCCTGGGGGTTTTCAGCCCCAAGCAGGCTGTGCTGGCTCCAGGCTGTGACGGTGTTCACAGGGGCCTTATGTTGAGGGAAGAGACAGAGATCTGACTCCATATTTCAG